AGTGCTTACCAGGGACCAGGGACCATTCCACCACCCTATGAACTAGGTATTTTACACCTCTTTTACTGATAAGAGAACCATGGCACACAGAAGGAACTTATCCTACTCACACCTAGCCAAATAAATGTGAATCTCATTCAAAAGAGCATCAATTCAAAAGAATTTTTTAAAGTACTGGAAAAGAAAAAAACGCCAAAAATGACTATACAGCTAAGTGGACTAGCCCATTAATGAACAAAATGGTGATATCACTAAGTTCCATTAAATGCTTTAAAGGAAGAAAGAAAGATGAATTTACTTGGGCTATAATTTTCCATAAATTCTGTAACATTACAAAAAAGCAACTGGGAAACCAGTGTAATTCATTTTTAACTATATCTAACTCCTTCCTCCTCATATTGCCTAAAACATGATTAGATGCAACCTACTAAATGGGAGAAGATATCTGCAAAGCATGTATCCAATAACAGACTAATATCCAAAATATATAAAGAATTTACACAACTCAATGGCACACAAAAAAATCTGATTTTAAAAATGGCCATCCAAAAGACAAACAACAACAAATGTTGGCGAGGATGTGGAGAAAGGGGAACCCTCCTACACTGCTGGTGGGAATGTAAACTACTTCAACCATTGTGGAAAGCAGTATGGCGGTTCCTCAAAAAACTCAAAATAGAAATACCATTTGACCCAGGAATTCCACTCCTAGGAATTTACCCTAAGAATGCAGGAGCCCGGTTTGAAAAAGACATATGCACCCCTATGTTTATCACAGCACTTTTTACAATAGCCAAGAAATAGAAGCAACCTAAGTGTCCATCAGTAGATGAATGGATAAAGAAGATGTGGTACATATATACAATGGAATATTATTCTGCCATAAAAGAAAGCAAATCCTACCATTTGCAACAACATGAATGGAGCTAGAGGGTATTATGCTCAGTGAAATAAGCCAGGCAGAAAAAGACAAGTATCAAATGATTTCACTCATATGTGGAGGGAGTATAAGAACAAAGAAAAAAACCAAAGGAACAAAACAGCAGCAGACTCACAGAACCCAAGAATGAACTAACAGTTACCAAAGGGAAAGGCACTGGGGAGAATGGGTGGGAAGGGATAAGGGGGAAATAGGGGCATTACAATTAGCAGACATAATGTAGGGGGTGGGGGACACGGGGAGGGCTGTACAACACAGAGAAGACAAGTAGTGATTCTACAGCATCTTACTACGCTGATGCACAGTGACTGTAATGGGGTATGTGGTGGGGACTTGATGATAGGGGGAGTCTAGTAACCATAATGTCACTCATGTAACTGTAGATTAATGATACCAAAATAAATTTTTTTTAAAAATGGGCAGAAGATCTGAATACACATTTTTCCAAAGACAAACAGATGGCCAAGAGACACATAAAAAGATGTGTCATTATCACTATTCATCAGACAAATGTAAATCAAAACCACAATGAGGTAACTTACACCAATCAGAATTCTTATAATCAAAAAGACAAGAAGTAATAAGTATAGGTGAGCATGTAGAAAAACAGGAACTCTTGTACACTGCTGATGGGAATTAAACTGGTGCCACCATTATGGAAGTTCCTCAAAAAATTAAAAACATAAATACCATACAATCCAGCAACCCCATTTCTATTTATCTGAAGAAATTTGAAAACACTAATTCAGAAAGATATATGCACCATGTTTACTGCAGCATTATTTACAATAGTCAAGACATGGAAACAACCTGAGTGTCCATAGCCAGATGAATGTGTAAATAAGTTGTAGTACATACACACACACACACACACACACACACACACACTGGAGTATTATGCAGCCATAAAAATGAATGAAATTTGGCCATCTGCGACAGCATGGATGGAACTCAGGGGCATTATGCTAAATGAAATAAATCACACAGAGAAAGACAAATTCCAGATGATCTCTCTTATATGTGGAATCTAAAAACAACAAGCAAGCTCATAGATACAGAAAATAGATGGGTGGTTGTCAAAGGCAGGGGTTAGGAGGTGAGAGAAATGGGTGGAGGAGGTCAAAGTTACAAAAAATAGAGAGATGGATGAATCACAGACAATAAAGTGGTTAGAGCTCCCAAAATGATGGTATCAACAATTACTTAAAAACTCTCAAAGGATTAGAAAGTACCGAGTTTTAGATTCAGAAGGAAACAAACATATAATGAATATTTATTAAAGCACATCTAATCCAATCCCTTTACAGATATAAAAAGATCAACTCAGAAAGCTTTAAAACTTTCTCATATATAGAGATCTTAAAATGTCTAAATCTGGACTAGAATTTACCTTCTGGTCCAACTGCTCTTTCTATATACCATGCTGTAGGATACATAATATGATACGTATAAAGTTTCTGGAATTGAGCTACTGAAAGAGAAATCAAAACAAAATTAGATTATTTACTCTGAAAAATTAAAGTTTCTGGAAAGGAATATTGACTAAACAAATATTCAAATAATCTTCCCCAGGCCAATGAAAGCTTCAGGATGGCTAGAATAAATACAGCTTTCAGGGCAGGAAGAAAGAAACTTGTGACAAAATGGACTTAATCTCCAGGGACTTGGTCAAAAGCTTGAATCAAATATGACAAAAAGACATGTTGTGATGAAGTCTGGCTGAAAGTGGTCACATAGATCATGGTAGAGTAAATAATTAACCTACTTTGAGATCTATTATAAAAAGATTAACCAGAGGTGGAAGAAAAGCGCCAGAAGGTAAGCAAAGCCATGAAAGACAGACAGTCTTTACATATTCCACATACTCGAATGTGGCATCTAAAACTGCACTTCTTAAGAAGTGTTATGTTTAAGCATATCAAAAGTTTCAAGTCCCAATGGTCTTACCTTTATTGGTGATACTAAGTGGTGCCTAAGATTTGAAGAAACCCACCACCTCTTATAAAATTCAATTTCTCCTAACTCTGTAACTTTATCCTCTAATAATCATGAAATTATCTGTCATCTTGATCGGGGACATGGTTACATGAGTGTACACACATATCAAAATGCATCAATCTGTACACTAAGATTTATGCATTTTACTGTATGTACCTTAAATAAGAAACAAAATTTTAAAATATTTAAAATAAATAATACATAAATAACCTGTCAATGGCCTAGTATCCTATCACTGTGCCTTAGTGAGTTAACAATGTTGCCACATTATCACTTTAATTATTAACTCTCCATGCTTATGCTACAATTGTACAAATTTGAAAACTAACACTCATTCATGTGGAAAACATGAAATGTAAAATTTTATCTAAGGTATAAGCTCAATTACAGTTTTTTAAAAAGGAAAAATATACTGTGAGAGGTAAAACTAAGTTATTTTCTTTTTGCTTCCTTAAGAATTTCCCAAATTCTTCTTTGTGGAATATTTTGCAAATCTTCTATCATGAGAATGTATCATTTTTAATGTCTAAAATGTATTTTAGCCAAATTCAAAAGATCAGCAGGCTTAAATAAAACCTTTTTAATTCTTACTCTAGATGTTCGCTCCACTAAACCTCCTCAAACACATGGGCAGTCCTTATCAGTACTGAACCAACTATTTCTGATAGAAGACTCCTTCTTTTTGAAGTTTTCACCTCTCTCAGGTTAACATTTTCAGTACAAACAGCAAAAATTAGTAGAACAATGGCAACTCACTCTGAATATTCCTATCACAAAAGCACTATTATACTACCAGAATATGAATAAAATTGCACTGACTCTTACAAATGAAAGAATTACATGTGCCTTACTTCTTGTGAAGGGACAAGGTATTTTATTACCTATAATGTAATACTCTGACTACAGAGGAAGGAGACTGTCACCCACCTCCCCTGCCCCTGCCTGGGTATGGGCTCCCCTGGGTTTTTCTCCTTTCCTTCCTTTCTGGAGCGATGACAAACCACAATGACCACACACGTGGCCTACCCCGAGTGACCCCAGTGACACTCAAATAAAAGACAAATAGCCAGCGTCACCTGTGACTTGCCTTCAGTAAGGAGCTTAAAGTTCACCCACAAGATGCAATGCTAGGCACAAGCTTTTCAAGGAAAACCTGCAGGCCCGCAGAGAAGCTACCTTGTGGCCTTGGCCTCACTGACTCTGCGTTCTAAGGGATCTAACTCACCCACTGCAGCAAGGAGTGGGCAGGTACCCAGGCCTGTTCCACCCCAAGATCTACCACCTTCGCCCTACGACTTCTCTTTTACCCAATTCCCCTCGCTAACAAGCCTTTCCTGACCATGACTCACAACACCCAAATAGGAAGGACAACTATCACAGGAGGAGCAACAATTCATGGAGCCCCTACCTTGTGCTGGCACTACTGCCCACCCCCACGGCACAGCCAAGACCCATAGGATCATAGGTCCCAGGCCCAGGCCACCACAAGCTGCTCTGCAACTTCCACCTCAACTTCAAAACGCAGGCCTTTCTATATGTATTTGGCCAGTTTTCCCATTATTTCACAACCAATACACAGAATAGTAAACATTAAGTGGCTACTCTGTGCCAGGCCTGAAGTCTGCAGTTACTTCAGAGGCATAACAAACACCAAGTGACACTGAAAATGTTTTCGTTCATGGCAAATCACAAGAAGCATTTCTAGAGTTACCTCTGCAAATTTATTCATTGCAATCTAAACATAATCACTCATTTGGGTCAGGCTACAACATTAATGTAAGAAAAACAAACTTTACTAGTAATTTCCACCTGTCAGCAGAACAACAATCATCTAGAATTAAACATATCTGGAGACATTTGCTTTTAACAGAGTAATTTAACCCAATTAAGGCACAGCCAATCTGCCCAGGTAACTTAGGTTAACATGAAAAAATTACATGAGCTTTATTATTTATACAACAAAATTCCAATCCTTTGTACATCTTTTCACAGAGGCTGATTCTCTGAAAATTATCATTCTTCTTGGGTCCAGCCCCTCTTCCCTCCACCACTCCAAACATACCTCCAATCTCATCCATGACTCACTTCCCCCAGACCAGTAAGAGAAATGAAGGGCTCTGGGAAACTGTTTTATTGTATGCAGCAGTTAGTGCTCCGCCAAACTGCAGAAATAAATGATGGTCCTCCCCCTTAAGGCCTTCACAATCTAATAGGGAGATAAAAGTTTACAACACAGTAGTATGATAAATGAATTGAGATTACTTACAAAAATGCTGTGAAATTTACAAGAGGGGGATGGAGAGTGGGGCTGCACAGGGGTAAGATTTTTCAAGTAAGGTTACAGGCTTGAGAGACAGGAGTTCTTACAGGTATGGACTCGCCAGACAAGGGCTGAGCAGGCAGTGTTCAAAGCCTAGTAAAATAGCATCTATACAGGCCTAGAGGTCAATGTCTTGCTTTTCTTGACTGTCAATTTTGTAATTCTTAGAAGATGGGTTGCAGTTTTCTTTAAGAATAAGACTGCAGATTACTTTGAGATGTTTAGCATTATTTTGGGAGCACAATGGATTTTATTCACATATGAATATAGACACACCCAATTTTAACACTACTTTCAGAACAATCTCATTTGGCCGGGCACTAATCTTTCTGTATTTGCCAACAATACACACACAACACATGCCATCAGTGCACGTGAGTGGAAGCCCTAGAAAGAGCTTTGGAGTCTGATACTCTTGAGATCAGAAGCCCACTTACTCAAGTGTCTGACTTGGCAAATCTCTCTGTGCCTCATTTTCCTCATCTGATTAGAAAATGTTTATTTATCAGTGTTTACTTGAATATTGTTTGTTTCCCTCAACTAGAATGTAAACACCCATGAAAGCAAAAATTGTATCCCAGCACTCAGCAAAGGCTCTAGCACTTAGTAGGTGCTAAGTGTGTACATGATACACTTAAGCGAATGAATGATCACTAAAGAGTAACACATCACTCCCTGAAGCACTAGACTTTGACAGTGAACTATGACACTACAATCTGTGTAGCTCAGCAATCTGGCAAGATTATCACTTTCGAAGACTTAATTATCACATTCTTTTTGAAACAGAGTAAGAATAATTGGCATATCTAAAAATAATTAATCCAAATGACCCTGGGAAATCGTTTTAATACAGTGCCTTTAATATCAATGCTTCCCCTAAGATGTAAATTATGAGAAAGAACAAACATCCATTTGAGAAAATGGGTTCTTCAATGATTCATTCTTCAATATAATTTAATACTGTAGGTTTTAATCTCATCTGATTACTGCCGTTTTTTGTCCTGTTCCTCAGTGTGCAGTATAGAATCTGCTTCTAAAGTACCTTTAAATCTGACTCACCGCCCCTTAAAGAAAGGTATGTAAAATGTACTACCCTTAAACAGAAGACTGCTTGGGGATCTCCTATACGTGATCGGGTGCATTAAAAGCACTCAGGCACATAAAAAAGGCTAGTAAGACATAAAACAGGATGATTTCAGAAGTCTTTAACAACATAATGACTAGGCCCAAGTTCAAAGAATAACTTTTTTCTATGATGGCTAATAATTATGATCCCTAACTGCAAGCTCATAAGAAGCTAATGAAACGAACTGGCCCCAACGCGTGGAAAACTGGGGTCCTTCTTTCTAGTCAGGCACAAAAACATGACGATTTAAAGGCACCCACATCTTGGTTAATTCGGGACTTTTCAACAGGCATTAACACTTTCCCTTTAAAGTCGATGCAAAAGTCCCAATAAAACACATACAAGAACGCTTGCAGTCAATCCCTGAACAGAAATACTTGCAACCACACACACAGATGAGTCCGCTGTACTACAGTAAACAACTGACAGTAGAGCTTAAACTGTTTTCCAGATGAACGTGGATTCCCAAAGACAAGACTGCCACCTGGACACATGGTTGGAAAGGGGAGAGCTCGGTCCTCTCAGAAAGAATAGGAAAGGGGGAACACTGCACGGCACTTAGTTAAAGTTTCCACCTTCACACACACACCCCCTTCCCCTCGGCACCGGGTGGGGGACTCGGCCTCGCCAGAGGCGCGGGAAGGAAACCTGCACTTGACTTCCGTCCTCTCCGGGGCAGGAATGAGACCCTGCCTCCCTGCCGGGAGACCCCCACCCAGCCCGGGGACACCCCCCGCCCCGAGGTGGAGGAGAGGCGCTGCTCCTGTCCCGCCACCCCGACCCCAGCCGGGGGCTGGCTCCGGCCCGCGCGCCCACAGCCCGGGGGCGCCGCCGACCGGTGTCCGCCCCATCACGTCCGGCACGGTCGCCCCCTCGCCCGGCACCCTCGCACCGCCCCGGCTCGCCAGGCGCCTCCCCCTTCCCGGGGCCGCTAATCGCCCCCACTCCCCGCCCGCCGCCGTCCACCGCCCCCGCCCGGGCCGCCGGCCCCCACGCTAGGCCCCGCGGGCGGCCACCCGGGTGAGCGGCGGGGACCAAGGCCTCCCGCCGGGCCGCCCGCCCGCCCCCGGGGCCCCGGCCCGCCCCCACCGCCCTCTCGCCGCACCTACCATGGTACAGATGGAGGCGAATTTGGAGACTGTCATTAGGATTTCCATCCGCCCAACGCCATCTTCCACCCAATCAGAGCGGCGGCAGCGGCGGCGGCGGCGGGCGGGGGAGGAGGGGAGCCGGGCCGCCCGCTCGCACCGCAGCCCGCGGGCGGACCCCGAGCCGCCGCGGACCCACGCACTGAGGCTGCCCAGCCGCTGCTACCGTCGTCGCCGCCGGCGCTCCGGCACTCCCCGCCGCGGGCCCCTGTCCCCGCCTGCCGGCCGCCCGCCCGCCCCCGGCTCCTCCCCGGCGCAGGGCGCAGCCGCTGCCTGGGGGCCAGCGCCTGCCCGCGAAGCCGCCCGCCGCACACCCCGCCCAGGCCCTGACGCCCGGCCCGCCCGGCAGCAGCGCGGCCCAGCGGCGCGCCCCGCCCACCCGCCGCGCGCCCGGACCGCCCCGCGCGGCCCCACCCACTCCCCTGCGCGCGCCAGCCGGGCTTCTCCGGCGCCGGCCTGCCGCGAGCAGCCGGGGGCGGGGCACGGCCGAGCACCGCCTACAGCCCGTGTTCCTCGCGGTCCTAGCGCCCGCGGGTGGTTCTGGCCCCGGCCGCCGAGGGGCGTGGGGAGGCCGCGGGGGGCGGTGGCGACCTGGGTAAACCCTGGAAGAATTGACCCGCCTCCTCTAACCCAGGCCGAGGGGGCAGCTAGTCCCCACTGCCCAAACAGAAAACGGAAGCAATGGGCTGAGTGACCCTGGGTGGGGTGGGGGCACCTGCTTCTGTGCTGTGAAAATAACCCGGGTATGCCAACATCCCAAGCACTCAACAAAATGTAGGGTGGTTCGCTTCTTATACATACATTGGGTGAATCGCGTAGGTTAAAACACTATTAAATTAGGGAAAGAAAAATTTAATAAAAATGAAAAAAGGCACAGGAGAAATTATGTGTGGCTCCTTGAATTGAGAAGGTTAGATAATGGAGAAAGGGAACGAAGCGGCCTTCTGGCCTCCCGGTTGGCCATAAACTTAGAATGTTTATAAATACAGTGTCTAAATATATTTGTTCTGAAAGTTGTGTTGCTAAATAAGGAAGATCTCAACCCAACAGTGATGATCATGTTACCAGAGACCAGAAGTCTTGCAAGTGAGAAAAAATGACCTGTGAGAAATGCTAAAGCAGCCTCAGTGGTATACTTCCTCTTTCTACTTTTATATATTACATCACTGCACCCTGTACTCGGTGCTGCCCGCTCACCTTTATTTCTTCCTATTTGAGAAAGTAGTTCAAGTTAGTAGAGTAACTTTATAAATTATTGTATTAGAAAGCTTGAGATAGTTTCAACTAGTGAGCTGTAGCGAGGGGGGCCTTTTTGAGTTCCCCCATTAAAGGGCGGCTGAGGACCTGAATTGAGAAAAAGGACTGAAATCAATTACATCTTATCTCAGGTTCAAAGAATTCAAGAAAAAAAAAGGCATTCAACCAAAATTTATGTGAAAAATAGATTTCTGGTACATGAATGCTGTTTCCATAGTGATTTCCATTAGAAACTTGCTTCAGGGAAAAATATTGCAAATAGAATATGGCGAAGTCCCATAGTAGCTGGCCTGGTTCTCCAGGCACCTGCTGCCTTGGAAGCTGAGGCCCTATCTCTTTGCCCAGATACCCAAGACAGTGACTAGGACCTAGTTTTCCACCGCCACACATTCAGATGAGTGGGGTGCTTACCTCCCTGTTTCCCTGCCTAGACTTGGAAGTGTTACCTACCTGAATTCTTTCTTGCTGTGTTCCATCAAGCTTAGATCTCCAGAGCCTGCTTGGGTCTTGTGCCAGTGTCCCCATGTCCCTGGATCCAACCTGTTTTGCCTATTTGAATAAATGTCTCTTGTCAGCCTATCTTCCACACTTGCTATTCTGTTCCAGCTGACACGTCGAATGTACCAGAATTTGAACCCCATCCCCATTACACTGCCCACCAACGTGCTTCCTTGTCTGTGGATATTAAAATGTCACGGAAACAAAGGTCACCAGTTTTACATTAAGTTTAGCTGTGAACAGGCCTTTTTAAAATGGATATCTGGTAGAATTGTGGGGAGTTGTGTCTAGATGCTATAGCCATCTAAATTCACAGCTGATATCATAGATCCCATGCATAGAACCTCTCAATGCCTTGTTTCCCCAGCCTACAGAGAACTGGAAAGGCACAACATAGAGATTCTTGTATGTGTCAGATGCTGCACTGGGGTGTTTTTTACCACATAAAATGCAGTTGAAGATAAGATTTGGCTGAAACGCCACACTTTTGCACTGGCAGCTTAGAAGGGGTTATGGGCTTAAACTCAGTATTTACCTGCAGTTGCATCTGATTTAAAAAAGCTTCATTGTACCTATAGAAAGGTGAGGTTGCATAGATAACTTCTTTTGGGCCTTCTTGAGTATGTAAGCTACAAAACATACTCAGATAACTTCAGGGCCCAAGCAAGCCAGCAAACTAAGGCCAAGGTTATCCATTTGGTCAGCACAATGTTTTAAATTTTTTTTCATCTTTACACAATCCTGTCCTATCCCATTTCTTGCAAGCCACTTCATATTTTCTATTACTCATGCTGTCTCCAGTTAACCACATGTCACCTCAGATATTTCTGCCATCTCTCTTTCCATGAAGGCATTTGTGTTTGCACCAACTGACATAAATGAGTGAAATTTTGCCTGTGATGGAGTGGGAAGGAAGTGGTAGAGAAGGTGTCTAAGACATCCATAATGACCGATGGTGCTTATCGAGGACTTATCTGTGCACCAAACATTTTATCAAATCCTCAAAACTGCCCTGTGAAGTAGGTGCTATTATTATCCCCATTTTCTAGATGAAGAAACTGAGGCGTAAAGATAACTTTCCCAAAGTTGCACAGCCAGTAAGCGATGGACCCAGGATTTGAACCTGGCTCCAAAGGCCAAATGGTATCCACTCTGCTATGCCAGCTCATGTAAAAGTGCTTCATTTTGATTCTGGTAAGATGAGATTGAGTGGCACTGACCCCTTGGGTTGCACATGCAGGTTTTAGCTACAAAATGTACTCAAATAGATATTTCTTTTTCTCACTTTCCTCATCTGGAAAATAAGGGTAGTGATTACGTCTACCTCAGAGGGGTGTAACAAAGATAACACATGGAGACTTGTTTAGAATAGTGCCTGGCACTCAACACAAACTGGAGGGCTTTGAAAGACCAAAGTCAGCATTTGGAAAGTCAGGGTGGGCAAAGACAGCCCTCAGGCTGACAGTTTACTCCCTCACAATTAATGAGCCTTTGGTATGTGCCAGAAACCTAATTAGTACTTTAGATGCATTTTCTAATGCAACCTTTTGAGTGCCTTTGGAACTTGATCGTTTTGTACTCATTTTACCACATTCACCATGGCTCTGCACAGCCAGCCCAGGGCCAGGGTCCACACCCAGATGCTCTAACTCAAAAACCTGTGATCTCTTCCCTTCTCTCCCCTGCCCATTGCCAGTTGAATGAATTAGCCTTCTTGGTGTCATTAACATCATCCGGCTGTCCAAAGGTAGATGTTCATCAAAACAGTGATATTCTTTTGTTGGTCTGAATCAACAAATCAGTGACTTGACTTTTCGAGGCTGACTTCTAATTCAGATGAATAAAGGGGAGTCACCTACATAATAGATATGTGACTGATTGTCTTGGCAGGATGGCATATAGCTAATATATGTAAAACTCTGTCGTGATTTAAATCTAGGCTTAAAACAAGAGGGCCGAAGTCACAGCCCTGTTATATTCCATTTAAAAGTGAAATGTGAGGTCATTCATTAAAACAAGTATCTATTGGTCAGCTAATGATGAATCAGAAAAATCTGAGTCCTCAAGAAGGGGAGGGGAGGAGAAAGAAATGCCAGTGGTCTCCCAGGCAGAAAGCAAGTCTCATGCACAGACCCTGAAAGCGCATGGGATGTGTCTAACGCTTTGGCTCGAGATGCTTATGTCACAGGGCGTTTGTGGAGATGAGTGTGGAATGTCAAAGGGACAATCCAAACGACGGTTACGGCCTCTGGGATCTCTACTGTCATATGTATCAATACTAAGTGGTAGAATCAGCCTATCTTAAAACTATTCCTTGTTCTTCATAGTATGTTTGGATTCCCAGCCCTGCATTTGCTGAGACTAAACATGGTAAGGAATTTCAAGGAGACATTGAACTAAATAGGTCTATAATGTGGTGGAAAACCTTGACTTGCGGTGAGCACAAAAGTAAGCTGGCATGTTTCTCTGTGTGCTTAGCTCTGCATTAAGCAGGGCCTGACTAGCAGAAACTATCCAAATGCTGGCGGGGGGGTGGGGGACGACACAATTATTCCAGCTGTTTAGAAAAAGCTCAAAAACCGCTAAGCCTAAGTAGAGAAGGAGTACCTCTTCCATTGGTTTCATGTTAACCACCCCTTTCTTCTGTGAAAAGAGAACAGAGCGAGAGAACTCCTAAAGTAAAGAACACACTGGCAATGTTGGACACAAATGTGATCTGCCCTGACCGGGCAATTATTGAGCAATGTATATCTGTGTTGCATTTTTTTTTTTAAGGCTCTTTGTGTCTGTTGAGTACCTCCTACCTGGGAAGACTGTAGCTGACACTTAGGTAACAAGAGTCCTGCCTTCAAAATACTTACCATCTAGCTGAGAGAGAAGATGTGTACACAGACAACTTTAAATTAGGCAAGTGGCAGTTGTGTGATTTATAGTATTATAAAGGCTCAGAGAAGAGAGCAATTGTTTCTTCTTTTAGATGGTCAGGAAATGCCACCACAGATCCGAGTCACCTCTCCTGATCCAAAGGAAAAAGTTTTGGAAAATCTCAAAGAGTAACATAATTACATCTTTTAAGTAACCATTCAAGAAAATTTTCTTCATACTTAAAATGGAAATAATAATGTTCCCTACCCTTCCCCCCACCCCTGCCCTGGAGTTATTTTTGAAGATTAAATTAGTTAATAATTGTGAAAAACTTTAAGAGCACCTGGCTCCTAAGAAGCAGATGCATCTGTTGTCGTTTTAATCCCCCTCCTCCCCACTTCCCTCTCTGACCCCTCTTCTCTCTGCTCACCTTTCCCGTCTTTCCAGCCCCATCCTATATTCCTCCCCTTCATTCACTTGTTTCTGTCACACCAAGGCCATGCCACCTCTGAGCATTTTGCATGGGCCATTCTTCCTCCCTGGAACACTCCCTTCTTCATGTGGTCACCTCCTCAAGGAGGCCGGTCCTGATGCCCCAGGTCCCCTCCTCTCCGCAG